TATTTATGTTTACACATCCAAATCTAAAAATAAACAACTTCTAAACAACTATTATAAGTAAAAGACTTTCAAGAAGTAATCACCGATGAACATTATATATGCACGAGACTGTGTCATGCACAAAATCTTTTATGCTGTTGCAAATAATATTATATACATATATTATCATATATGTATATAATGTTCATCGGTGATTATACATAGAGTATACAGGGTGTTTGATAAGTATCGTCTCACTGTTCATAGATAGATAGAAGAAGTTATTCTGAGACGAAAAGTCCTATACCACTTTAGAAAATTCGCAATAATTAACGAAATATTAATGAATAAAGATCCGCTAATCAGCGTGCATCCAGAGTAAGGACAGCATAAGGACAGCCCAGTCTTGGTGCTTGTTGGCGAGCAACCGCCCCGCTTGACCTCCGATCCCGCGCCTACTCTTCGAATTCCTGACGCGCTGTGTACACATGTTATTCTATTAGCTCCTCTCATTCTGTCGCTACGGCACGTACACACGAAAGACTGGGCTGTCCTTACGCTGTCCTTACTCTGGATGCACGCTGATTAGCGAATCTTTATTCATTAATATTTCGTTAATTATTGCGAATTTTTCAAAGTGGTATAGGACTTTTCGTCTTAGAATAACCCCTTCTACCTACCTACAAGCGGTGAGACGGTACTTATCAAACATCCTGTATATACAGAGTGTCCCATTAACTTGCATCCTAAATATCTCGCCTATTTTTTATAATAGGAGGATGCCGAAAAGAGTCATTGTTCATTTCAAAGAGACAAATATTGTAATAAACAAGAACTTTTTGGATTCGTCTTGACCTTGCTTATCATATCGCGAGGATAAAAATATATACTTTCAGATTAAAAAAATGATAATGATCTTGAAATCTTAAAAAATATCACCTTGTGAAAAATTTCCTGTTTATTACAGTATTTGTCTCCTCGAACTGAATAATGACTCTTTTCGGCATCCTTCTATCATAAAAAATAAGCGATATTTAGGATCCTCAAGTTAGGTAAGACACCTTGTATATGTATATATATATTCTTTAATATAGTCTTCCTGTATTTTTGTCAATCTGATCAATAATAAGACACATAAAATGTATGTCCACGATTAAAAGTAATTATATTTCTAAAGCATTTTGATAAGCATTGTGTTTTACACGTGATGACATATCGCTCATTATACCACGAGATAATTTTTAATGATAAAGATCACCAAAGATCACCGATCAGTTAACACAAAAATTTCAGAAAAAATTAGATTTTTATCTTCAATTCGCAAAATTGATGACATTGTACAAGGAGAAACTCGCATTATTTGTTATTTCCAACAAAAAACAAGAAAGAAATAATAAGTGAACTTTACTCTCTCTCTCTCTCTCTCTCTGTCTCTCTCTCTCTCTCTCTCTCTTTCTCTCTCAAATCAATCAATCAAAATTAAAAGTAAAATTTTATTATTTCTCCATTTATCTTGGATTGTTTGTTTATAACCAATATATTAAATAATAATAAAAAAATTGAACAATAATAAAAGTTCCTTTCGTAAAGATGACAAATTAGCTTTACGACATATTTATAAGTAATATATTATAATATTTATTTTATGCGAAATATATGTAAAAAAAGCAAATGTAACATTATTTTAAACTATTTTCGAGGGAGAAAGAAATAAAGTTAATAGAAATGATCTCATATGCGTTTTTTTTTCTGTTATCGTCGATCACTTTCAGATATAGTCATACTGTAAGTATGTACTCAACATAACTCCTATTAGTATATATGATTCAGTTCTACCAATGTATATATAATGAGATAACCACAACTTGGAGATAGAGATGTATTCACTGATGATTAAGATTGACATGCTGCTGATGGAGATGTGCTTATATAAACTGAGGAGATCACGTTCGATGCGCCACAGTATTTATCAACATGAATATTACCACTGCACTCTTGATCGCATGCCTGGCGATCACCGCCTACGGTAAGAGGTGCACGTCTGTTACTTCAAGTGTATGAAAAAAACTTGAAATCAATATAAAAAGAAAAACCATTGTGAACGTTCTTATGTGTCTATTGCGCAAAACTGCCACTTAATATTTTACAATGAAAGTTATGCAATACACAAATATAATTTATAGAGTATCAAATAATAAATTGATACATTTAAGTGATGTATTTAGTAATTATACGCAACAATAGAAAATGTTTTGATGACAGGTTTTCCAAATTCACACATCGTGGGAGGAAGCGATGCTCCAGATGGTCGATATCCTCATCAGGTGTCGTTAAGGAGATCAAAGAACAACAATCATTTTTGTGGCGGAGCCATTATTAGCAAGCGTTACGTTATCACTGCTGCGCATTGTCTTCAAAGGTAAATACAAACATATCTATATTTTGTCTGATATAAATTTATATTAGTAAATGTATTAGTATTAAAAAAAAATTATTATTTACTTTTTATATACTTTTATATACTAAATTTTATATACTTATACATTATATAAATTTTATATACTTTTTGAATATTCAGAAGTTGAATTACAAATTACATATGCAAAAAAAATGATAATTCTTATCGTTTATTACAGACTGACCGATCCATCCGAAATTCATGTCGCAGTTGGAAGCAATTATCTTGATACACCACGTGCTATATATCAAGTAAAAAAGTACATAAAACATCCCAATTATAACAGCTTATTAAACATTGACGACATCGGTTTAATCCGTGTAGCGAAGAGCATCAAGTTCAACGACGATACATCGACTATTGCTCTACCAACTGTAGACAACAATTATGACAATTATTCTCTCAAAGTTACCGGTTGGGGAAGACTCTGGGTAAATAAACAAATAAATTATATAAGATTTTAATATTACAGATACTTTTTGCATGTAACTTCTTTGATTTAATTTATTTTTTTTAATGCAATTTATTATCTATCTTATAAAGTCACTTAAAAAGAAAGAGTGAAGCTAAACAAATTTTGTTATTTTATAGACAGGCGTAACTTTTTTGATTTAATTTACTTTTTTAATTCAATTTATCTATGTTAATCAACTAGGAAGAGAAAGTGAAACTAAACTAACAAATTTCTTTTTTTATAGACAGATGGTCCGCGTCCTAATCGCTTGCAACAGGTTACTGTGAAAGGCTATTCCCAAAAAAAGTGCAATAAGTTTTACAAAAACAACATCATAGAATCTCACATATGTACTTTTACCAGAGAGGGCAAAGGAATGTGCAACGTAAGTGTAATTGTAATCTAAACTCCGCGACAACAAAACTAATCATTATGTTAGAAAAACAAAAGACATTAAATTACATATGTATATAATACATATAAACATAACGTACATATACAAACACACATTTACATATTATATGCAACTGTAAAAAAGGAAAAATATATATAAAAACTTTCCAATCCGGCAAAATAACTTATAATTTCCGCTATGCTTTTGTGACAGGGTGATTCCGGCGGCCCGCTCGTTGCGGACGACGTTCTAGTTGGTATTGTGTCCTACGGCACGTCTCCGTGTGGCAGTGGTTTTCCAGACGTATTCACCAGAGTATTCCACTACAGGGCGTGGATTAAGTCGCATACAGGAATCTGAACTCTCATCGGCGATAACACCGATCGTTGCTCAGTGAAAGCAATTAGCATAGAAAAGGACATGCGTCCATCGAGCAAATATAGTTATTTTGAGATTTGTTATTGCTTAGTTTTTAAGTCTACAAACGTTCTTAAGTCTTTAAAATCTTAATGTACAGCGAATACGTGAATTTAATTGTCTTCCAGATATATTTCACGTACAATATTTGTACATAAATCTATAATGTATATAGTGACTCGAAACTCGAGTAATAAATAAATTTTTTATTATTAACTAGAATTATTTTTGAAAACTTCGAATCGTTTCTAAATAAAATGATAATAATTGTTGGTATATGTTATACGCATAAATGTTATCTGCAGAATATGAGATAAAAGCAAGTTAAATATCAGTGATAATTTGGTGATAATGTCAGTCGCCGTACTTTGCAGTAAACGTATAATATAATAAATCGTCGATAGTTATTACACTTGATATTTTTCTGCATCTTTAACTCTTCTGCGTCTTTAACATGTTTGTCGGTCTCATAATTGCATGTTTTGTGATGGGTGTTTCTGGTAAGTGCGTTTTTTTTTCATATCTACGTAACATCTGTACTATTGCACATCGGACAACACACGAAACTACGACATATGTTACGACAAAGGTCAAGTGTATACTGCTGCTGATTTGTTTTACGCAATACGTTTAAGTGTGTGTGTCCAGATTTACGTGTCACTTTTTTCATGCAGTTCTAAATAGTGAAATAAATAATTTTTTTTAATAACTCAAGTACCTACTTTTCCAACACGCACAAATATTACATGTGAGAAAAGAAGTATTTAGTTGAAGTATTTTTTTATTTAATAGGAGACACGCATATTATCGGTGGCAAAAATGCTACTGCTATTTATCCGTACCAAGTATCACTAAGATCAACAAAGGAGAGGCATTTTTGTGGCGGAGCTATTATCGATAAACGTTTTATTCTTACCGCTGCACATTGCTTACAAACGTACGTATACAATCTTAACTTATAAATTGTGATTGAAAAATATGTATATCGAATAAAAAAAAAACATTATAAAAAATTTATATTCCCATGAATATGTTACAGACCCATACATCCATCTAATACATCTGTTGCCGTAGGAAGTAATAATCTCTTAAATGCCACTTTGTATCCAGCGGAAGCCTTCTTCGTGCACAAAAAGTACAACATTGAGCCGCATCTTAACGATATCGGATTAATTCGTGTATCAAAGGACATCAAGTTTAATAAATTCGTCCAGCCGATTAACTTATCAAATTATGATCGCAATTACGAAAATGTGTCACTTGTGGCCACCGGCTGGGGTCTTTGGGTAATTAATGCAAAAGATACATATACATATATATTATCTCATTTGATTCCATTCAATATTTAAACCAATATAAAAATAAATATTGAGTGTAATTCTTATCTCGGAAATTTCATTTTATCATAACTTTTTAACCGCGGAGAAGAATAGCAAAATTAAGCTGAAAGTACTTTGTTTTATTAGAATAACAATGAGATACCTACAAATCTGCAAGAGCTTACAGTGAAAGGATATTCTCAAGAGAAATGTGCAACTTTCTATAGAGAGAACGTAACACAACGTGTGGTTATCAAAGAGACTCAGATATGTACTTTGAACAGACACGGGCAAGGGATGTGTAACGTAAGTAACTACAGATGTTTATTGTGAGAATGCAAGATGATTTTGTTGTCACGCCTGAAAAAAATAGATGGATCATACGTACACATGATTATTGTCGCGCTTCAAAATTCTTTCCGATTGTACTTAATTGCTTCTTAAAACTCTCGCGACCTTATTGAGCTGATACATGAAATATATATTCTGATTTTTGTACAGTTTGCGTACAAATCCGATTACGTAGCTTGTGTGATAAGCCAAGCAGAAATAATGTGCTTCTGCACGACATAAATATTCCGTTCGACGGAAAAACGTCATCAATAAAATGTCACTAGAAATTAAACTTTTTTAAATTTTCATATGTTAATATTTTAATCTTATAGTGAAGAGTCTGACATTTTTTTCACGCAAAATTTCAATTATTTTCTATTATTAACCCCTTGACATAAAAATGACAATAAATTAAACGGAATTTGATGCGTCCGAAAAGTACTATTTAATTTTGCTCAACTGAACAGTTATGTGCAAGCTGAGAAAGAGAACATTTTATTTTGAAATTTGGATTGTTATATAACATTTACAGCCGATTTCTTCATACCTTTCGATAGCTATCCTCTGGATAAATTCCTCTGAGAACCAATAAGAAGAACCAATTTTGGGAGATATCTTCTAGATAAAGTTATCGAAAACTAATCTAGAAGTGAAAAAATTGGCTGTTAATCAGGTTGATACATAATGTTAATGGAGAACAATTAAATAACATTATAAAATAATAATTTAATAGTTCTTTAAAGTATGAAACATTTCAAAACATTTTGGAACAACTCTTGACGAGTCAAACTCGTCAAAGTCTACAGTGGCACATGAAATGAATGACGACCCCAACTCGTCATTATATGTCAAGGGGTTAATATAGGAGATATAATCATTTTTGTGATTAAGATGTCCGTCTTATTCGTTTTCTGTAGCGACAGATTAGGCGAAAAAATCTGTCGCTGTAGTGGAATCAGTAGAAATTTTATTTATTATCAGGACCACAGAAAAAGTGACAAAAGCTCTGCTACGAAGAGAGTACAGAGAAAAGATGAACTGACTCAGTTGATAACTTACAATTAGGCCCGATTTCTTCATACTTCCCGATAACTATCCTCTGGATAAAGGTACACAAAAAGATATACTTTATCTATTAGATAAAGTTATCAAGAAGTTGGCTGAGATATCGAAGTGCAATTTATTGAAGCTCCGCCCAGTCAGTAAATGCCGGGAAATTCAAACAAATTTGTCGAAAGATGTCGCGTTTTTTATATTATTTATTGTTCTTTATTGTCCTTTACATTTTCGATGAAGGAAAAAATCAAACTCAGCATAAATACATCAACAGTAAACACTAACTACGCAGTAAATGCACGAAACAGTATGTGTGCAAATGGAAATTGTATAGAACCGATTTGAATTACTTTTCTTTCTAAAATATTTGAATTACTTTTCTTTCTAAAAAGGATTCTGTAAGTTATACTACTGTCAGTGTCATGTGTATTGACTCTTTATTATCTTAACAAGCAGGACAAATTGTTTTTATTATAAATATTTGTATATGTATACTTATAGTTATGGGTTTGTTGGTTGAAATCTTGTTTTTTTATCAGTACACGACTTACAACAGTTAGTTCAAACATTCTCCGTATATTGCACTAAACAACATAGATTTAAATGTACATACTATAACTTATTTCATGTTCTATAATAGAAGTACGTGTTAATTAATTCAACATAAACAATATAATGTCGATATTTGTATTAATGATGTAATATTTCAAGATCTTTCTATCTTATAAGATAGAAATATTAGATAAATAATGTTTTTCTTGTATTAAGTGTAATTACATATTGTATATACTTTACTGTACAAAATTACAAAACAGCGCAAGATTATTTTAATTTGAAATGTAGCTCCGGTCGATGTAACTTCTTATAACTAATAAGATTTTTTTAGTGATATTAATAGTTTCAAATGAAATTTGTTTGTGAGCATAAAGATATACAATATTATATGTAGAGATGAGAAAATGTAATGAAACATTGTACAAAACAGTATTTGACGAATTTACAATTCTTGGATACGCAATTAAGTTTTGTATTATTTTTTATGGACGATTGATACTATTTCGTAAAACCTACAGTTTTATGTTTCTGAGTACGTATCAAAGTCGGATGAATTGACAGAAAATATAGATACGTACTATTTTATATCATCAAAATTGATGATGATAAGCAATAGCAAATAATGGAATAGCAAAATAATGGAAAGAGAGAGGAAAAAAGAGAAAAAGAGAAGAAAGTGACTGATTGATTTAGATTTATTTTCTATGTGCTTCGGAACAAGTTTATCTAAAGCTCATTACATCAAACTACAAAAAGAAAAAAATATTAAAAGAAAAATCTTAATTTAAAAATCAGTAGAAAAGAATGAGTATATGAAACTGAAAATTAAGAGTGAAAAGAAACTACATAATAATGACGGTGATCAATTCATCAAGACGAATGCAAAGACGAAACCGAATACAAATACGGAATACAAATAATAAAGAATAACGTGACTGTGCTTTGTGACTTTCACGCACAATAAGAATGACGGCCTACAGATGATCAACATCCAAGTTCGAAGATTCTTATTCTGAATTCCGTAGTCGAGCAGTCGAATGTAGCGATCCGAAGTGAACGGTTGTGGTGAAGATAGAATAAGTGTGAATTCTCTATATCGCGGATCACTTTACTAAGTACAAAAAGCAACAAGGTAGATAATAAATTATAAATTTCGAAGACTTTGCTACATATAAATTTCTTCATTTATCAATACAAAACGCTTTGCGAATTTGTTTCTGTTAATAATCTGTGTGCTGGTCGTCGTTATTTACGTGCGTGGCGATCACAGGTCCATCACGTGTATTGATTGGAGTTAGCAGCTTTATCGGAAGCAAACATTATAGAAAATTTGAGAAGAAATGAAAGTAAATGACTTACACTATATTTTATATACTATTACAAGTGCATAAAACTTTTATATAATTGAAACAAAAAATATATTACATAACAATATTTTATATTTACGTAGATTTCGAAGAGATTCGGACTGGCCGTAGAGATTTTTCGAACAAAGCCTACGAATTGAAAAAGTTATAATAAAAAATCGGAAAGTTCGAGAGAGAGAGAGTTACACAAAAAATATTTATTTTTCATGGACATTTGAACATTATCAAGAAGAAATTGAAGGACGACAAAGAATAAGACAATTATAGACGAAGGAAAAAAAAGAAAAACGTTTATTAAATGAGCGATGACTATACTCCGTGTTAACTAAAAAAAGTGTTTCCTAAAATTTCACAGATTTCAAGTGCATATCAAATAGTTGTATTTGTCACAGCAGAAATGGAATCAGTATAATTAATTTATGAAATTAGTCATAAAACTCTAGGATTTTTAGCGTTATGAAAACCTAATTAAGTGATGCATTTATGTTTAAAGTTTGACAATGCGATGACGTTACTGATGTAATTAAGTAAACTTTTGTTATTCATCATCTGATGTATGTCACATCTGTAGCATTTCTGCATTCTATCAGTCTTCGAATTCTTGTTATACAACTACACGGAGAAAACTGTTATGGTTGCTAGAACATTATCTATGGTTAGAACAGCAATTGATATGAGTTCAAGTTAAATAGATATTACATCAAAAGTTGCTGTTGACATAAGCTCATTTATACAGTTCGCACAGCCATATTTAAATGATACGTAATATTCAATTAGTATATTCGCATATATTG